GTGTCAGTGAATTATCTGAAGGGAAGGGACATGTCAACATTTAGGGACTTGCAACAACTGGGTTACAACTGAGAAAGGGAGAAGATGATTATTTAGAAATAAAATTAAAGAAGATATTAGGGACAAGAGAAAGACAATAGGGAGAGGACAGAGTTGAGAGATGAGAAAACTAAAGGCTTTCAGAAGGGAACTGGTCACAAAGGGATGAGCTTCCAAGCATGTTGGTGAAAAGCGTGGCTACAGGGTAGAAAAGGTAGAATCTAAACAAAGGAAACTTCCTCATTATAAGTTTGTTTTTCAAACTTGGTGAATTAAGCCAGGCACAGCGGTTCATACCTATAATCCCAGGGACTCTGAAGACTGAGGCAGGAGAATTGCAAGTTCAAAACAAGCCTCAGCAACTTACCAAGGCCTTGTCTCAAAATAAAACATAAAGAGGACTGGGAGGGCTGGGGCTGTAGCTCAGCGGCAGAGAGCTTGCCTAGCATGCATGAGGCACTGGGTTCAATCCTCAGCACCACATAAAAATAAACAAATAAAATAAAGGCATTCTGTCCATCTGAAACTACCAAAAAAAATTTAAAAATTTAAAAAAGGGCTGGGAATGTGGCTCAGTGGTAAAGTACCCCTGTATTCAATCCTCGTTGCCCAAAAAAAAAAAAAAAAAGAATTTGGTGAACTAAATCACAAGAAGATACTCTTAACTACAGTAATCTCCAAGGAAATAGCTGTAGTAAGAGCTTCTGAATTTCTGATTAAGACTGGATAGTGAAGGCAACTGAGGCAGCAGTCTTTGGTATGTAGTAAATATTCAGCAACAGAGAGAGGAAGGAAAGGAGGTTGGTTTAGTAAATTCATTTACTACTGTCCATTCTTCACATTGTACGAAATGTTTAATGATCCTCTCCATGCTCAATAAACACCACTTAAAAAGAAATCAATCATGAGTTCTTAGGAAACACTGTAGACTATTACCAGTTAAGTTGAAACTCAAGGCTTCAAAGTGTCTCTTAAGCTTTCTTAAATACATAAGTCTGCTTGATTTGAAGGATCTTCCCAACTGCCCTATCCTTCAAGGAATGTCTTATATTCCTCTAGCACAACATGCAAACAAAAGAACCTGATCGTGTTCTACTATAGAAAGAAATATGTACTTGAATTTAAAAATTGACATCCTATGTAATTTCCTAAAATCCTTTTTAAAAACCATGTTATAGCTAGACAAGGTGCCCCACACGTAATCCAGTGACTAGGGAGGCTGAAATAGGAGGATCTCTGATTCAAAGCCAGCCTTGGCAATTTAGCCACTATCTCAAAACAAAAAAATAAAAGTACTGGAGATGCAGCTCAGTGGTTGAGCACCCCAGGGTTTAATCCCAGAATCAAAAATAGTGATAATAAACAAAAATAAAATTTTAAAAAATGTTATAAAGCTATGCAGAAAGGCAGACTCAAGTTCAATTTCTTTGCCATTTAAGTAGCAAAGTATGAACAACCAAAGAAGAACCACAATTTAAATTTTTCATAGATAAAATAGTAGTAATGTAGGCCCATGATGTATAAATCCTCAGGAGAAATACAATAACCACGTTTTTTTTTTTCTTTTTAGTGTAAGACAGTAGGATTTATTCAAGTGAGACAAAAAGAGACAGAGCTCCCCCTTGGCAAGAGGGATCCAACAGGGTTGCCCAACCACTTATTTAAGAGAACTTCAGGTTTTTCTGTTTAATCACCTCCTAAAAATGTAAGCACTGCTATTATAATTAAAAAACTAAATGTTTAGGGGGGATTGTGCAAAACATACAGGTAAACATTTGCATATAAGAAATAATGATGTATGCTTACTGAATACTTTCAGCTCCCAAATATACCTTCAGAATCAAAATTATGTTTCTTGTAAGTAAAACTAATAGATTGGTTTCCTTCCCTCTACTCAAATAGAACCTTATTTCACATTATAGAAAAAATTTTGAATTTTTAAATTTATTTTATAGGCAAAATACTACTTTTGACAGTTGCTCTTTTGGTCATCTCAAAAAGCTGGCAATCTAATTTTCTCAATAATATATATCTGGTTCTATGGACTGCTTCCTTGGTAACACTAGGTGTTACCATCTCATAGACCTCCAAAGACCCAAATACACCATGGTACACAAATAAGCAGTCTGCAAGGAACCACTGATTTGATTTGGACAACATAGCTATTTTGAAAAACTTGTCTCCTTCCATGATTGGGAAATGTGAAGTTAGGAACTAAATTTCCCACCAGAGAAGTGTTGCTGAACATACTTTCATAGCTCTGATGGACTGCTCCTTTGAAATCTCCAATCTTACCATGTTACTCTGTTTCAAAAACCTTTACCCACTGCCCAGAGGATTAAATCCAAATTTACCACATTATTGAAGCCTGCCTCCAGTCTGTCTTCTTGCTTCCTAATCTTTTCTGTAGACTCCTCAGCACTAATGCTTGACTCCTCCCACAGGTTAGGTTTATCCCTTCCCTAGCTCATGCAGTTTATCAGGCCTGGAAAGGCCTTCTTGCTCCTGTATGAATCCTACAGCAGGTCCCAGCTGAACTCTATTTCTGTTGGATTCTCCTGTGAAAATCCTTTTTGGCCCCCACATTTTGCACAGTCTTCCGCTATCCTACCGTCTTTGTTGTCTCCACAACTCACCAGATACCCAAAGGGATGCAGAAAGTCTGATACAGTTTTTGGATCCCATATAGCCTTTTGGGCGTGTGAGTTAATTTCAAAGAACCAAGAACTCAGACATTTGATGATATATTGTTCAGAAAGGACTACAGGGCTTTTAAACTGAATAATTTTGAATTTTTCAAGTTCACAGGCGGAATTATAGAGCTAGGCCTCGTATCTTTAAAAATTAATATTAGTTTGAGAAATAAAGAAAATGTTGTCTTTTTTTCTTTAAAACAATTTTAGTTCTAACTTAAATATTACAAAACTCCTGTGCTCCCCACCCCTATTCCCACAATTAAACATTACACCAACTGTAACTGAAATTGACTTTTCTTCCTCAAACTGTGCTTCCAGAAGCCTAAGGTTCCCAAAAGCATTCTCTTGTGCATAGCTGTTATTCTTCCACTGGGAGGTGAGGGCCTAAGAGCAGAATGGTGAAAACAAGAAGTCTCCCTTCCCAGAAGTCAGGAAACCACTCTCAGCTACCCTTTCCTGGCAACAGGAAGTTGAAACAAGGACAGGAAATATTAGTGACTTTCAGCTGTACAAGGAATAGGCCTCTTCAGAGATTTTCTTTCTCTCTTTCTTTTTAAGAACTATTCAAATTAGCTATAAAAGTTAAGAAGAGAATGACATTGGGAAAAAAAAAGTTCTGATGAACCCTAAAGACAGTTCATTTTTTTAAAAAAACACTGTTGATCAGTAACTTCATTAAAACAACCCCAATAGACCTGGCAGTAAAGCTCTGACTACTCAAAGATTATTCTTTGTTTTGAAAATCAGCATTAACTGGCCTGAAATGGTGCAATACAAAGAACAAGAAGGTACTATTTCACAGCCATATAATCCATACCCAAAATAGGGCAAATAGGTGAATGAAAGCTAGAGCTAAATGATACTAGGACAAAGCAAGCACACCACAAGACTAGCAGGTAAGCAAGAAAAGATCTCCTAAGCCAAAGAATTTTAAGAGCAACATGAACCTCAGACACCATCCATTCTACTCCCCACATTTTATAATCAAGGCTCAAAAAAGTGAAATAATTGGTCTAAGGCCAGAAAGCTTGTCCCAAACTCAGGTCATTCACCTCAGGACACTAGGTGTTACCATCTCATAGTTCAGTGAATCCTGTCTTCTCAAGGAATCCTTTCCTGACCAGAATCATCCACCTTCACAGCACAAAACAGCCCTCCTTACTGCTGTGACAATTTACAATAAAAAAATTTTTTGACTCTTTGCTTAATGTCTAATTCCTACAGTCAACCATAAGCCCATGTGGACAGCAATCCTTTCTGGTTTTGCCCATCATTATATCTCTAGTACCTGGAAGATAAATGTTCGGAATCATTAATTTACTTAAAGAAGACACAATCAAATGATGGGTCTAAAAAGTGGGCTTTTAGGAAAACCTAGCAATTTAAGCCACTCCCTTCTTGGTCAAGCTTTCAATATTTCAGGTAGATACAAAGTACTTCTACAAAAGCAAAGTTGGGAAACAATAAATCCTTCATAAAAGGCTAAGAAAAACCAAGACGGTTAATAAATACATTATCCTTTTAACTATTCAATCAGCTTTTTTAAAATTTTATTTATATATTCTAATTAGGTATGTATTACAGCAGAATGCATTTTGATTCATTGTACTCAATTGCAGCACAACTTTTCATTTCTCTGGTTATATAAGATGTAGTGTCACACCATATGTGCAGTCATACATGTAACTGAGGTAATGATGTCCATCTCATTCCACCATCTTTCCTGCCCCCATACACCCTCCTTACCCTCCCTCCACTTTGTCAATCAGCTTTCAATGTCACTCTTTTCATTGTAGTGGCAATGAAACACACCTGAGAACTACCTCAGCAATAGACAAGTCACCACTTCTAAAAACCACTGCTACTACCACCATGACTACCAAAAAAGAATTACATTTTATTCTATTTAACCCAAAATATCTAAAATTATCATTTTCAAATGTAATCATCATTTTAAAGAATTGTTAATAAAATATTTTACACTCTTTTTTCTGCTAAGTCTTGTGTATTTTCTACTTATGTAATATCTTAATTCAGACTAGCCACAGTGGCTAGTGGCTATCACGTTAGACAGAGTGTCCTAAACCATCTATAATTCTGATAAATTATATGCTCTCTTTCTTCCTTTAAAAAATTTGCAAAAAAACTTTTGATGTTCCCTGTATCAAACAAAGAAACAATGAGGGAAGAGGGTGTGTATTCACTACAAACAACTCAAAAATAAAGGGAAAAGACTGACAGTAAAGTACATTAATGCAATGATACCTTCTTAATTCGTTCATGACTTTAAAAGCTTTCTTCATGTGCCAAGGATTCACTGTCACAGGGCAGTGTTTTTCAGTATTATCATCTTTTGAATCTAGAGGCTTCTGATGACCTTGCTTTGTGCATCTGTACACAAAAGAAAAGAACAAAAAAACAGAAAAAGATCTTATTAAAGATAATTTGGTTCTAGCTTATCAAGATATAAAATGAATGCTTCCCTCCTCACTCATTTACAAGTCTCACTCACAGGATATCCCATTGTAAGATTAAGACACAATTAAGAACACTTTTTGATGGTAACTATGCTTTTGACATAAAAAAAAAAAAACTGGCTAATTACCTCCCTGGTGTCAAAAGTTCTGTCAAAGATAAACAGGAAAATCAACAAAGGTGGCTTAGAGATATCTCCCAATGAAGATGCTGAAAAATCTCTGTCAGTTAGAAATTGATTTGCTTTTAAAAATTGCTGTAGTTACACTTTATTTACAAACCAAGACAGCAGCAGGATCATAATTTACACAAACTTCAAGAAATTAGAATTCAATTTAAAGTTTGCTCTCCACCCACAAGGATAGTTACCCCCACCCCATATTTTGGAGCTACACTAATAAGAGATTAATCATGTTAAATAACATTTATCAAGTACTTACCATATGGTATCCATTGTGCTTACTTTCAATTATAATCCTCACAACTCTGTAAGCTAATTACTATTATTATCCTCATTTAACACATGAAGAGATTAAGGCAAAAAAAGTTTGGGTCATGTGGTAAATGGTAGACCTGGATAAGAGTGCTCCCAATCTGAGTCATTCTGACATTAAACAAAGGTTATTTAATTTCATATTTAAATTTACAACGTTTAAGGGTGACAAGCTATGTTAGTATTGTTTTATGAATTATTCTTTCAAGAGCTGGGGCCAAAACTTGACAAAGTAAGAATATGGGGTGATGTGGAGAATTAACTCAAACTAATAGACACATGGAAAATTTTTGAAGTGATAGTTATACAACTCTATAAATTTACTAAAATTCATTGGATTGTACCATTATAATGGGTGGATTTTATGGTATATAAATTATTACTCAATAAAGCTATTCAATGAAAATCAGGATACCAAATCAAGCCTGAAAAAAGATCATACTTATATATAAATCTCACAAAAAATAACATTCAAATATAAGGAATAGCTGCACTATTCTCATTTATTGCTGTGCTTTGTTTGCTTTCCTAACCCTATTGTGGTTCTTAATTCATTCAAATTTGTTTAGTGCCAACCATCTACCAAGCACTGCTTTTAAGGCACTTGGGATGCGTCAATGAATAAAACAAAGACCCTTGTCCTCACTGTCCCTGAAGACTAGCTGTGGGATGGAGAAGACAACAAGCAAGACCAATCAGTAAAGTAGAAGGCATGTTGGAAAATTAGTGCTATTGGGAAAAGTAGGGCAAGGAAAATAGAATGAGAAGCATAAGTATGGAGGGTGTAGTGAAGGGTGTAACTCTCAGTATGAAATACAGTGATCAGACAATGCCAAAATGAGAACTGACATTGAACAAGAAACTAGGAGGTGAAAGAAAGTCCAGACAGAAGAAATAAAAGTATGTGTCTGGCATACTCTAGGAACTCTGAGGCCCAGGTGGCTGGAGCAAAGGGGTGGGGCTGCAGAGAAGCAGATGCAGCTGTGTAGGGCCTTGAGAGACATTTTAACTTCTTCAGCTTTTACCTTGAGTGGAACAGGGAGGCACTGCAAAGGAATGACACAATCCAACTTATGTTTTCAAAAGATCACTTTACCACTGGTTGAAGATACTCTATATGGGTCAAGGATGAAAAGGGGGAAAGAATTTAGGAGGGTGTTGCAGTAATGCATAAGCAATAACAGTGGCTCAGAGCAGGGTAGTAGCAAAAGGTGATGAGAAGTGGCTAGGTTCTGAATATTTTCAAGATATAGCCAAAAAAAACATTCGTTGACAGAATAAATATGTATGTCAAAGAATGACCCCAATTTTTTTGGCCTGAGCAAGTGGAAGAATTGAATTTCCATTAATTGAGATGGGGAAGGCTACAGATTTGGAGTAGGAAGATACAACAGCTCAGTTTTTATACATGTTGGTATTAAGACATCTGACACACAAGTGAAGATATCAAGTCAACAGATAAAGATTGGAGTCTAGAGTTGGAGAGAAAAATTTAGCTGGAGATGGAAATTTTGGAATCACTGATTACATGGATGATGTATGAAGCCAAGAAAATGAGGCATTCAATATTAAGATGATCTCTGAAATTAACCATATAAATTATCCTTGCTCACTCCCCCATACAAATTAGCACTAGTTGAGGTACTTGATTTTGTGAGGGCTTGCCTACTAGAAGCAGACATCAATTCTACTTCCTCACCACTCGAGAGTCTTTAAAGCAATCTAAAAATTAATTAGCACAGGCCACCGCCTCAGAAACAACACTCATTCACAGCTGGAATGGGGGAATGAGGTGTACTCTACCAACTACAGCCTCTGAGAGTTGGGGAAGGAGGAGGAGGATGGGTTAAGGCCTTAGGAAGGGTAAATCTAGAAGCCAAAAATAAAGGAACATTCACATTTGGAGAAGAGACTGGGGAAATACTTTATAGGATGTAAAGCAGATACTCATTTTCACTGTTAAAAAAAAACAGTAGGAAACCAGGTAAAAGGGAAATTTGTGTAGATATAAGAAACCCATATAAACTTTCTGACCATAAAGCACTGAATACCTCCATTTATAACAAGATAATTATATCTGCTGTTAGTTTAATAATTAAGAGCTTGCAATAAAGGGAAAATATACTGAAAATTAGCAAAAACTGTCATAGAGGAGTTTCCAATGCTCAAGAGTGGAAGCAAAAATAATAAAAAATTCTGCCCTCAAAAAAAAAAAAGTTGTTATTAAGAGTCAAGTGTGTTTATATTTGCTTAACAAATTAGGAATTTAAACTCCTGGCATTACAGAATTAACTTTTAAAGTAGCTGCACACAACAATCAATACCCATATTAGTGTTGTCTGAAAAGCTATTCTCAGCTCCCACTCTTTTGATGTGCTCCAGAAACTCTGCAAAGACTTTTCTCAAATGCTTAAAAGAATAAGTACGAAATTACACTGAATTTTCTTTTTTAAGTGTTCTCTATACTACTAACAGCCACTTACAAACACAGCACCCCTACTGCAAAGGTCTATTTTCAACACTGATGCCCTTTCCATAATTTTCCATTTCTTATGTGGCTTTGTGTTAGATGATCTCTCATTCAGAAGCAGAGCTGAGTAACAGAAAATGACACATCAAGTCTAAAACTATACATGTGAAAAACGTACAGATACCAGGAACACGAGCTAAGTGGGAGGTAAAGGTTTACCCTTTAAGTTATACCACGCAAGCCCGGAGTTACACCTTTTCCTTTCTTCTCTTCTGATAAAAAAGGGAATAAGCTTTATCCCTTCCAGAAAGGCTTCTCATTCTGAGACTCACCCTCTTTAAAAATATCAAAAAGAGATGCTTTTTCATGGTTCTTTCACCCAACTTGGTCTTTCCCCAACTCTGCACTCCAGAGCTAGTCTTGCAATTACCCAATGGCCTGTTGTTTTTTTTGTTTTTAATATCTTTGTTTTATTTATTTATTTTATGTGGTGCTGAGGACCAAACCCAGTGCCTCATGCATGAGAGGCAAGCGCTCAACCAGTAAGCTACAACCCCAGCCTCCCGACGGCCTGTTGTTATCAAAACATTCTTAAAAAGTTGAGGTTTCTAAGGATTTGGATTTCGGTGTATTGCTATGCTCTTAACAGATAATCCTAAAACCCTTCTTAAATGGCTGACTTCCACAAATCTCAGCTGTGGGCAAGGCTGGCTTCTCAGATGAGATGACTTGGTCAATGCCTAAAAACACACTACTGGCAATAACTAAATTCTCAGAGAGGAAGAAAATACTCTAGCAGGCTTGTTTTCCTCAGAGTCAAGATTTCATAACCAGGCAATAGTTTAAACCTACTACAACAATTTTGAGGACACCTTCAAAGAGATAATTTCTTTAGATATCTTTTATTTGCTTTGGAACCATGATTTTCAATAGAGAACAGACAGATGTGACTAGCCCAAGCAATTTCTTCAAACTACACACAGCCCTCACAAAAAGGGTCAGATAAGTCCTTTTTAGGACTGGGTATATCAGAACGATGGCATCTCCAGGGGTAGGAGCAAAAGGCAGCTATGTATTATTTTTAAAAACAATCCCCAAAAAATAGGTGATGTAATATGCTCTACCACCCACTTCCCTCCCACCCCAGGACAATCATCCCAGATTGAGATGTAGCACTTTTGAAAATATGAGCTATTTATGTTTTTTAGGGTTTTCTGGTGGAAACAATGCTACAATTCATGAGAATGACACAGCTGTAAAATTTAACAGGGGACCAAAGACATTTTCACATTCAGTACATAAATACTTGGCCCCCCGGGTAGCCGCCATCTCTGTTCTCCCCTCTGCCTGTTCACCTCAAAAGCTGCAAGACTCCCCTGCTTGCAATGAGTCACCCACCATTACTCACAAATTTCTGCCAAGTTCACGTCAGCAGCTGTTGTTTTCAAAGTCACCATCCATGCTGTACTGCTTTGAAGTTTCCCAATTACTTTGTAATATTTCTCCTATTTTCTCTGTTGTCTTCCCAGCTCAACTTGCATTAAGAAACTGGTATCTTATTAACATTGCTCCCACACACAAGTATAGGATATGAGAAGTACAGATTCAACCACATCTAATATCATAACTAGTATTTGCTATGTCATTCTATGGTTTCCCAACAAAATGCTCTTACATCCTTCTCCTCAATCAAATAACCACACATTACTTAAAGGCTGTGAAAGTAGAGGGCTTTCTTCATTGGAAAGCCCATGTTTTGGTTTGTGCTGGGTTGTGGCTTCAGTTTTTGCAATCACATAGAGGCAAAAGAGACACTCTGCAAAATTTTTTCAAGCATATGAAACTTAAACCTTTTTTTATTAGGCAAAAAGCCAGTAGACAAACTATAATCCACAAACTTGAGAACATATTACAAAATAAATATGGCTTTAAAAAATTGCTGTTGTCTGCCTTACAGACACAGAACTTGGATTAT